GTTCAAATCCCAGTGGGTGAGTACTTCTACAGAGTCCCAAACTGGCATTAAACAGCTGTCTTGCAGTAGTCGCAGGTTTTCCAATGGTTCGCTAACTGATGTCAACTCATGATGAAATCTCGTAACCAATCTGTTGTATTCTTATCAATGTCAGTCTGCTACTATGTAGAAAGAAAGAAGTTTCTTTTTGACGAACAAGGAAAATTCTTTAATAATTTACAGTAGTATTTCCTAATTTGTAAAATGGAAGGTTTAAGAGCTCGTAATTTCAACTAACTTCATCGGTTCTGACCAAATTGGGAACAGAATCTGTTCCATTGCAAAGAATTAATATAATTATAAATATTCATTTATTTTGGTCTCCGATGCCGTTCTGTTACAAAATGAAATGAATGACGTTGTTAGGAGCATTCTAAATAATTTCAGGACGACATTTTCAACTGAACCTGTCATATATTTCTGGAAATCTTCCACATTAAACATCGATGAGTCGTTAAAGACAAATTCATCTCTACAATATAGTCTTCTTTTTCCATTAACTCCACCCTTGAGCTCTTATCAGGTCGCAGTATAATTATTTTGCCATTATTTTTGAGAGCTGTCAGTGCTCTTTGATATTCCTCAGAATAGATTTGGAAATATGATGTTGCTGAAGTGAGGTATTGATTTACAACATCGACCAGGTTGAATTTGAGCCGGCTCTTATTGTCCTCATCAGCTGGACTTAGATCATTCAGTTGATAGAGTTAGTTTTTGAATTGAGCTAATACATCGGTTCTTTTAATGCATTTATTCGGAATATTAACATTGAATCTACGGGAAAGCACTTCCGTTTCAATTCCGCTTAACCTCAAAGTTTGCAGATTACAGATGAATGTCTCAGGATTTTCTGGGAAGCCGTCAGACAATTTCTCCTTTGTCAAGGATTTGGACAGAGTTCTATGAAAATTTGTACATATTTTCTGAAATCAATTTGATCTGGAATACTATATTCAAAATATTCAACACACCATCGCAGAATTGAGGTTCAGTTCTCAATTTTGAGATCAAAGATTCTGTTGATTTAATGTGTGACTTAGTGATACACTGTTCTTAGTTTATTCAGTTACAAAGGGTAATTAGTGTATGGAAAAGAAATAAGTCAGTCTGAGACACCAATGCGGATAGAATTTTAATTGTTATCCTTATTTAAAACAGTTAGTTCCCGTTATGAATTTAGATAAAGCAATAAGAAGACGTAATTTGTCTGAATCGTGTAGTATATTTGCGCAACACATTTCGAACAATCTGATCACACACGGACTTGTCATAGAAATATATATGAAATTAATAAAGAGTTAAGAGGTGAGAAAATAGACACTTAGGTCAAGTTAAAAGGACATATGGAGGTTCAAAATAACACTAAATAACAGAGGTAATAGTACATCTACCCTGGCTGGTATCAAAACAAAGTTTACCAAGGAAAGTTAAGTGTGATGACGAATTGTTGCTTTGAACGCATAAAGGTGCTTTAAACTTTCTAATTGCCAGCTAGGGCTTCCACATACTTTAGGATACGCCCCAAACACGTTTTATAGATAGGTTTAAAAGATGTGTTAAGGTCAATTTTATGTCCTTTCTCTATAATTTGTTTCGCAATAGAGGAACTAGGTAGTCTCCTGTTCTCACCATTAATGCGTTCTGAAGATTTTGTTCGTTTCTGAAGTCATTTAGGAATATGCTCTGAAGCCAGCGCTTACTTGCAGAGATCGATGAGTCCTACTTATGTATGTGTGTCCACACGTACATTCAAATTGGTAAATACAGTGGGATGTGACATCATTTTTTGCATGTTCAAAGGGCTTAGATAGATATATTGGCTTCACATTCTCAATTATTATGATATTAGCTGCATAAAAAGTTTTTTTAACCACAGCAGCGTTCAATCTTTGTCTAGTTATCAAGCTGCTACGATGCTCCATATAGGGTAGCTTGATGTACATGTCTTTCTTGGCGGAGACGTGTTGTAGAGTGGTTCTTGGTGTTCTGACTACTTTATATCTCCTGATGAACTTGTATGGATAATTGTTATCAACCAGAGTTTGTGTTAGCTTTCTTCCTTTCCCTTCAGGTGTGTCTTCAGTGAATATTCCTTGGATTTTACTGAAAAGGGACCTTACTAAGGTTCTTTTGTACCGAACAGGGCGGAAACTGTGGTAATTAATTATCCCTACTATTCAAAGTAAATGCGTAGTTAAAGTTCCGATTATAGAGTACTTTCTTCTGATTTCACAAAGAGCATTTACCACACAGTGTCGTATATATTGTCGGTGGTTTATATTTATGCATGTTCCCTTCAAGAACAGATGTTAACTGTCTATGGTCTTTTTGTATTTTCAATGTATATATAAATATATATATCAAAATTTTACAAGTGAAAAAACCGCTCTTTTTATTGTAAAATGAATAAATTACAGAGAAGTATGCTTCATATTATATTATTTATGACAAACTACAGGAATTTATTGCAACCTCCATTCATTTATTTGCAGCTGGTAGATAAATAAAAATTTTTCTGACAGACTTAAATACGCAATTAAGAAATTTATAATCAGTACTGCTAAATAGATAATGAAATTACCAAATTCAACAAACTTATCCCATTTTAATGTATTTCACATTATTATGTGTCATAAGATTCTCAGTGAAATATAGTGATTCAACAAGACTCCCGCTCTCCGCAGTCTTATTCAGCATGCTGCACAGTCGCCTATATGCCTTCAGTCACTCCTCCCATGATATCACCCATGTAGCCCTTGGACAAACGCTCAAGTTGCTGTTTTTCAATCGGGTTCCCCTCGAGGGCTTGGTGCGTGATGTCATTCAGCATTCTTCTCGATGTGTCCCCGTTTCATCTCTACTTTTTTTCACCATATTTGCTCGTCAGTAAGTTATTGGTTGTTCACTTGCTGGAATTCATTCTTTCTTATCTATTCTCGTCACTGAATCTTCGATGTGGAGTGAAGTAAGCAGTTGTTGATGAAAGGATGAAATGTGTTAGAAATGCTTTTTGTGACTCAACCAATCCCTGGATCACGCAGAAGCTCTGATTGACTTAACTTTAGTGTTTAAAATCATAATATCTTTTTTTAATGCTGAGTGCATTAGATTTCCAGAATAATTCAAGATCAGTGAGGATTCTTGCTTTTCTAATCCTGCTTTTGACATCCTCACCCGTGCCGTCCGTCCCTAGTTGAAAAGATGAAGTCTAGATAGGTGAGAGAGATGATTTTTTATATATTTCCCCCTTTGATAATCGAGGCTTGTTATTGTTGGTGATCGGGTATTTTCAGCACCTTTATACTGTCTTTGCTGATTCTCCCGCCAACTATATGGTTCTGATTGTAAACCTTTGAATTTGTGTTAATTTATGTCATAGACGTCAGCAGTGAGCCAGCCAGATCCAATGGCGATTTCAAATATCTTACTTCCCTAAAGAATTGAAACATTGAAGTGAAAGAACTGAATTTATTCAGAATTCTCCAGTTGGTAGTAATTTGTTATTATTTTTGTTTCTGAGGTTTCTAAATTTCCTCTGTCGCCTCTGTGTTAATGCCGACTTCTGTCTTCGTTGTTGAATTCGCCAACTTGTTGGTTTTCACCTATAAGTCTTCGAATCCCTGTGACATTAGAAATGAATTAGCTGCGAAGTCTAGACATTCTACAGACATTTTGTTGGCCCAAAGTCTTCATAACCTCTCTCTCTCCATGGTCTTCCACAGGATCTAGTCAGCCACAGTCAGGAATATCATCGGTGATGTTTGACGGCCTTGTCTTACTCCTGTTTTCAGTTCAGGGGCAATGCTGAGCTTTAGATTTGCGAAATACTGGACATGTTGCTTCATCATCGCCATCATCAAATACCTATTTTGTGAGGTTGACAAGTGTTTTAAACAATGCTGTCCGTAGTGCTGAACTAGATTCCCGATCACTTCGCAGGCGATTCTGTCGAAGATTTTTTCCAAGTTGGTAAAGTTTTCTGTTAGAGATTGGACTGTTATTCTATACTCCATTTGGATGATAATGCGTAGCGTTGCAATTTGGCTCGCATATGATGAGTTTTCCTGGATCCAGGTTGTTCTAGGGAGCAGTTTTACACCTAAATGTATTTCATATCATTCATTAAAATGAGAATAAATCCCATAATTCTACTTCAGTTTGGCTTGCAGGTATTACTGGTTGACTTTAGTGGCTTCTGACTATCTGTATCATTTAGTAAATTGAATCATCAGTCGAACCGCACCTTGATTCTTCACTTTGTTTACTTTGTACTAGTTGTCGTAATTCTGAAAATCAGAATTTTCATTACCGTAGACATCAAGATTTTTTTATTCCTTTACGTTCCCAGTGGAACATAGGACTTCAAGCTAGAGTCTTGAAGTTTCTGTGGCAGTGGTGATTATTTTTACAGGATGGGGTTGCTAGCCAGACTCATACCCAGCCTTACCTCTTCATTAGTCTTACTACCGGCTTGTCGAGGTAAAGGAGTGCGTCTGTGGCCGGGGATCGCGGTCGGCAAGCACTCTACCGCTATGCCACTGACGTACACAACTAATACAATTTTTTAGCTGGTTTGAAATTAGCTCAAGTATGTTTGACTATCACGTCACCTGATTAGTCGTTGCATGCTTTACAAGGTACGTGTCATTTTCATTTTCGAGCTAATCAGAATTGACAGGATGAAATAAATAAAAAATAAAATAAAAGGATAAACCTGTTATAGAAGATGTATAACATAATAATTGTCAATAAAGGTATTTATTTCAAAATATCACCCATCCACTATCAGATAGTAGTTTTCATCTTATCCCTATGTCTGTCTATAACAATTGGTATTGGAACAAAAAGTACTTGAAATTTTCAAGTAAAATACTTTTTATTATTGCTTTGAATTCGGAATAGAACATCAGGCGTCAGCCGCACATCTTCATTTCACTTAGGTCTCTACAGTTTTAACTTAGGTGGTCTTATGATTACTCAAAAGCTGTCATTCTCTCCTCCACATAAACTTCGGATGCAACACTTGCCATTGCCTTTTCAGGGCCCACTCCAAAGCCTCGAATGTCTTGTCAATCAATGTTCTCTTCAGAGTATGTCATATCTACCTCCATTTTATTTCTACATATCTATTGTGATAAAGGCTCTTGATTCGGTAGCTAACAGAGTTGTGTGTTGCTTATCCTTTCCAGTCAGCCTGTTAGTTGATCTTCACCGTCGAATCAGCGAAGGTGAATGCCAATGAAAGCCTGTAATAGCCTTTTGGAAGTACTTTTTGTGACTTGCGTGCCACGTCTGTGAAACACCTAGAATCATAAATTTGGAATTAGTTGAGAATATCTTGATAATGTTCCTTATGCTGAGTGCAGCGGATTTCCGAATTAGTTTTAGACTGAAGAAACAACAATTCTTTTTTTCCTTCACGTTTCCCAGTGGAACAAAGGGCTTCAAGCTTGTGACTTGACGTTTCTGTAGCGGTGTTTATTTTTACAGGATGGGGTTGCTAGCCTCATGCTCAACCTTTCCTCTTTACCAGCATTGTTTCTGGCTTAGCCAGGTAAAGGAATGCGTCGGCCGGGGCTCGAACCCCGGACCATGTGCATGGTCGGCGAGCGTCCTAACCGCTATGCCACCGACGCTTACTTACATTTATTTACTTTGTTTTGGTTATTATTATTATTGTATCCTTTAATTCCTACAGGAACATAGGGCTTCAGCCGTGCGTCTCCATTGCGTTTGGTTCTCTGCTAGAGTCTTCACCTGGCTCCATGTCTGCCCACACGTTTTCATCTCCTCTTCACATGACCTCCTCCAGGTCACCCACCCTTGCACTGACGACCAACTCGCCGCTTCCCTTTCGGGTTACACTCGAGCAATGGCTTGTCTAGTGATGTCACTTGATGGTTTTCTCAGAGTATGGCCAGCCAATCCATCTCCGTTTCTTCCTGCCTGTTTGTTTCACAATCGGTTCCTGGTTGGTTCACTCCCAAAGATCTCTGTTGCTGATCTTTTCTGGCCATCTGATCTTGAGTATTGAGCAACTGTTAATGAAGGTCTGTAGTTTGTTTGAGGTGCTTTTTATGACGCGCCAAGTCTCTGATCCGTATAGTGGCACTGAGTTTACATTGGAGTTGAAAATCCGGATCTTATTTTTGATGCTGAGTGTTGTTGACCTCCACACAGACTTGAGAGTAGTGGTTACGAAATTCAATACTTATTCGTTGATTCATATGAAGAATATAGATTTCTGTAATCGGTTAATTGCACCAATCACCAAATTGGTGTGTAAAAGGTATGATTTATATTCTTTCAAATCAATGCATATAGATAATTATGGACATCAGTTTGATAAGGATAATGTCGAAATTTTAGACAGAGGAAACACCAAAAATGCAGTCAGGGAATTCCTAGAAGCCTGGTACTCAAACGAATCAGCCAGTGATTAACAAACATGTTAATATAGACCAAATCTACCAACTAATAAAAAGTGAATCATGTAACGAGAAAGTTCAAAATCCAAGTCAATGGAAAACGATCACCACATATGTAGAGATGGTTACAGGGAGACGCAATTCTATCACTCATGGGAAATTTAAATCAGTTCACTTTATGCTAGAAATCCTTTCAATGCTATGACGTATAATGAATACTCTCCGTGAACTTATTTTTACAAAACAATGTTAGAAGGAAGTAATCAATTTAACTGTATGAATTATTATCATTATTTCTCGACTTTTTGTCAGTTTGTTGATATAAAAACAATTTTAAATAGAAACCTAAAATGCATTTTATTCCAAAGTGAATTTTTCGGCTAGGCGGAGTGAATTAACATATATCGATGAAGATTGGGGAAGTTATTGATTTATTTTTTTCCTTTACTTTCCGAAATAGACATATGGCTTCAATCTAAAGCTTTGACGTTTCGGTAGAAGTGTTTTTATTTTTTTTACGGGTTGAGGCTGGTGATCTCACGCTCAAACTTCCGTCTTTACAAGCTATAATCCGAGTTAGCGAGGGTTAGGAATGCGTCTGCCGAGGATCGAACTTTTGGACCACATACATGTTCGGCGAGCGTTTTACTGCTGTACCACTAAAGCTTTGTGGGAAGAAAAGAACCTCAGATCCACGTTCCGCTATGTCAGTTTACGCTGTCTGTGGCGTAGATATGACATCCGGCTATCAACCAGAGGGCGTGTATGCCACTCAGCAATCCGTTTCCTTCTCCTTTTTGGATGTGAGACATGGCCATTGAAAGTAAAAGACATGAAGAGACTAGCTGTCTTTGATAATAGGTGCCTGCGTTGTTTTCCGCGTTAGGTGCCGTGGTATTATAGGGAGAGCAATATTGAGGTTAGGTATCGGTCGAGTGCTTGGTAAGGAGTGGAAATCAGTAGACGAGATTGTGAAGCTACATTGACTGAGATGGTAAGGACAGGTGTTGTGCATGCACGCATAACCATCGACTTCCTCGACGGACAATGTTAGATGACATAGGTTCAGGTTAGATAATACCTAGCGGTGGTGGTCAAACCGAAACATGGCATCAGCCAATGAAATCCCCCTGATTATTATGGCATTTTAATTCCTAATTGTAATTTAATTAATTTAACCCTTGACCTGAAATCATTCTGGAACTCTCCCTCCCATTTATTATAATTACACGAATGTACAGTCTAGTTGATGACTTCGTCAAAAAGAAAATTTACTTCGCTGCAGCTATGTTTTTATTATTCCCTATGATCAAATGTGTTTATTCCGTGATTTGAAATCCACAACAGTTAGTTTAAACCACGTGGTAAGGTGTAGACTTCCTGACTGATTGAGATCTTCGAGACAGTAAAAACCAATGAAGGCTGGAGATAATTAGTGATGTAGCTTAAAATTGTCCCCAGTGATGCGTAGATGTATCAACTCCTTGTGACTTATAATATCCAATAAAACTATATGGTTCTTCCATTTTACTTTTCTTTTGCCTCATATCTCTGTTTACTGTCGCTATTTTGCATTTCTTTTTGCTTTCTTATCTTGCTTTGTGTGCTGGGTAAATTGTGGCGACTCGAACTGCTGCACATCAGTGCAAGTTTCACATTGAAATCAGTCACTCAGTCAGTCAGTCAGGAAGAAAAAAATTAAAATCCAATCAAAATCTCACCATTTTATTTCACAAGATAGTCACCGTATGGTAGCTGATTATTTACATGTGTTGATCAGAGTTTAAATCTTATTAGAGAAATCAATTATCTGAACTGGACAGAGTTGTTTCACCTATAAACGGGAAAGATGGAGATGTCAAATTCAGGTAGGATAGGAGCATGAAAAAAGGTGGGCGTTCATTATCATTAGATCAGTACGAGAATGTACAGTATTCAATACAAGCAACAAGATCTGAATTCTCAACATTAATGTCAACTCATTGGTAAGCACATAATGGAAGGCATTTCCAACCTGCTACTGAAGGCTTTTATTGGCATCTGTCTTCGCTGGCTTGAGATTGTAGATCAAATAACCAACCGACTGGTAAGGATAAGTGATACGGAACTCTGGCAGCTGCCCAACCAATAGCTTTACCCCAATAAATATGCCAAAAGAAAAGGGACTGGATTAGATGTAGTCTAAGGATACATAGAAACGAACATTACATGCCAGACAGGCTAAGCAACAGAACACCCTAGGAAGCAACAAGTTTTAGTGTCCAGGTGTCGTGCTCAGGTTTTCACATGCAGAGAAAATAAACGTCTATTTTCATTTGCGAAGCCAGATGAAATTGATTTCACAGGAGTGAGTGTAATGATGTTATGCCAGTGAAGCCTTATGTTCCATTTTGAATGAGCAGGATGAGTGATGTATTAGTGGTGCGAAAAAAGTTAATTAGCGTCACTTCGGGTATTCCAGAAGTCAGTCTACTTCAAGTCCTTGAACTTCTATTACGACATTAACAGAGATGGGTATGGGTCAGTAATGAATTCCATGAGTGGAGGAACATTCTGACAGGTAAACAAGAATATAGAAGCGTATTTTAGATAGACAAAGAAAGAGGAAAAGGATAACTCACTATCCGTAAACAAGAAGCCTCTATATATAGACTGCGATTCAACGGCGATATACCTAGCGAAATAATTACGAAGAAATTAAGAAATTGAGTTCAAAGAACTTTTAATGCTGGCGAACTACACGTCTTATTCTCTGCATGACCGATGTTGATTCCTAGACTGAAAGATAAAGTACTTAGACTAGCCACTTCCAGTTGCATCTACCAATTCAACTGCGCTTGTGGTGGACCGAGTTATATCGACCATTGCTCTAGGAAGTTGATTTTTCGTGCTCGAGAATATCCCCCACTACGGCTAAATAAAGCTGTAGTGAAAACCATCAACAGTTCCATATTGGTCCATCTGGTCCAAATCGGACACAAAGCCAGCCAGGATTGAGGAATCCTTCTCTATCATCTACAGTGTGCCTAATAAATTGGCAAAACATCGAAGGACCGCATGCTCCAAACAACAGAGTCTATCGCAATTCGCCTTAAACAACCAGTGCTCTGTGTGCAAAAGAAGCAAGTCCATCCAGCCACTACTACTGCCCTGGCAGGCCTTCAGTAGAGACCATAAATTCATGAATCTGTAGTATTATCTCTCCTAATATTCTGAAATTCAGTGAGTATCGCTATGTTCGTGCTATCGAACTGTAATCCACCGATACAATTATTATCGATTCGATGTTATTTAAACATTAATGTTGTTCATAACACTAATTCATTCACTCACTTTTATGGATGGATATATAACTGTGGAGCCTGATGAAGGGCAGGTTATCGAGAAAAATATTCTTTGTTCAGCATCCATTCTTTTGAAAATTTTAATAGGTATTTTTAAATGGAAAAAAACAGTATTATGAAATTCAAAGCTTGCAAGGTATAATCTCAGAGTAAATTAAAGACTGGCATTCGAGGTTATCAAAAGACAAGAAT